CATCATACCCTTTTTGTCCAACCATATTTCTATAGAACTGCACATACTTTGTTGAACCTAAGCATAAAAATGGAAAATTTCCCCTGTATCTTTGGGTCTTCATTCTGTTTACTATGAAATATATATTAGATACATTTGTCTACCTTGTCTACAATTAATCTGCCTTTCGAGTTGATTTTTCAGCGAACTTTCACAAGGCCAAGGGAAAGTTCTATTTGGTTCCTTTTTAAATGTCTGTCTTAATAATATGGTAATCTTCCTTACTCATGTTTTTAATTCTCTTTTTATTTTAAAATGTATTTAAAGATGTATGATTTACATTCATTAATTCAGCATTTGAAGTCCTTGGGGGGGGTCATCTAAGTGTGCTGGTTTATTGTTTGTCCTGACTCACTAATGGTGGCTATTTCCTCATGAGATCTGTTATTTTGGATTATGGATTCCTGTTGCCTGGGACTTATCTATAGAAAACCTGAAAACTAGATTTGAGGGATTATCCCTGAAGAGATTTATATTTACCACTGTGAGATGCCTGGGGCCAATTAAAGTTAATTCTTAACTTTCCCAAGCCAGCCAAGTAGTGTGAATTTGAACCTTAATCTCCCCTGAGAGCAGAATGTAGATTCTCAAGGGAGACTTTTTTCCTGTGAGAGGACAACCCCAGATAGGCAATTGTAAATTTTATTTTGCTTTCCTCATGGTAAATTATTTTTTTCTGGTCCCACGTACTAGTGATGATAAAGAGACTTAGTTCTGGTTTCTGATCTGTTTGGATCCTGAGCACTTGGCTCCTGGTCTCTTCCAGACAGTGAAAGCCAGCAGACTAGGATCCAGGGAGCAGTACACATCCTCAGAGCAGCTTCTACTTTGGATAATGAGAAAAATCAATAGAATGCTTTGAAAAATAAATACCATCAATCAATTATGAATTATTAATACGAAGTACCTAGATTAGGAATGTGAGTGTATGTCTGTGTGTGTTTATTTGGGAAACACTTTTAGCAAAAATTTCTTCCCTCCTTGTGGTATCAAGAATTACACGGACAATACTTTGTATTCAACTCATGGCATTCAGAATTCAAAGACTTATAAAATATTGTTTTCAAGGTCAAATTAAATTGGAGGCAATGATTCTTCATTCCATTTATAAAACCTAGGTAACTTGTCTTGGTAAAGCTAGTACTAAAAATGCCCCTTTTTAGACAGGTAGTTAGAATACTATACAGAACTCATTTTTGACTGTCAAAACCAAAATTATTTGCAAGCCATAGATACATACAACCTTGTAGGCTGACACCTCACTTAACTGTTAAATCACCTAAAAGATTATCTTGTCTTTTTTTATGTGAATTCAAGAGCACAAAGCTATTTAAAATTCTTTGTCTAAAGAAATTCTATTAGGAGCATTATATTTCTTTGGCAGTCCTAAAAGGATCTAGTCCAATATTTTAACATCATATTTTTTTAAAGCCACTTTGGGTTATTTTTTTAAAAGTTAGATTGAAACCTGAGATACAGAATATGCACTATGTATGTGGGATGAATCTTACCAGGGTTCCATAGCTCAAAGACTTCTTTCAACACTGTCTGGTATCTGGGATTAACATAGCAATATTCAAATATGCAAGAGACTAGTAGGTAAAAATACAAATAGATTGTGCTTTCATCTACTATTCTCTGCATATTTGAATATTCACAAATAGATAGTGTTTTCACATGTAAGTTTTAGAGTGTTCCCAAAGGACATAAGAGTAAAAGAAGAAAAAAGATTCATTGTACCATTAAAAATAGTCTATAGTTACAGCACAACTGTGGGGAAAGGAAATTATCGAGGCATAGTTCAGGTAATTTTAAGAGACTGATGCTAATAGATAGCAAAGGCTGAACACATTCTGAATTATAAAATGAAATAAAATAAGGGACAAAGGAAGACAATAGCAATAATAACTACCACTTATTGGGTTCTAACTATATATCAGAACTATATTCATTGCTTTTCTTAACAGTCTCAACTAAAAGATAACCCATTTACCAAGTATTTAATATATGCCACTTTTATCCGTAAAATAACTTTTTGAGTTAGGTATTATTATTTGCCCAGTTGTGTAAATGAGGAAATTGACAACAGTTTTGTCAACTTACCCAGATCATATAAGCTTGAAAGTGTTACCCTTTCAAGATAGGCTGGCTCCAGAGATTATGCTGTGTAACAAGTCTCCATTATATTTTCATCTAACTATTAATAATAAGCTTTATCTTATCTTGGTTAGGGTATGTCTTATTAATCCCATTTTAAAGATTATTAAGTAACTTGCACAATATTACTTGTGAGTAATAATGTCAAAATTAAAAGTGGTTAGGTCTGTTTTCAGAATCTATATACTTTCCACTATATTTTGCCACTGTGGCATTATATTTTATCATTCATTCATTTAGTCATTTACTTAACAAATAATTGTTGAGCACTGTGTGCAATGTATTCTTCTGAGCTCCATAGATACTCTAGTGAACAAGAATAGCATAATTCTAAAGATTGCATTCTAGTGGGGAGAAATAAAAATATAAACAAATCTATAAATGCATGTCAAGTGTTAGGTGCAATAAAGAAAAATAAAGCACTATAAGTGGCTAGAAAATAATGAGATAAAGGGTGTATTTAAATGTTTTAGACAAGACAGTCAATGCAAGGAAACATTTAACTGTCACTGGTACGTTTATGATGTTAGTTTCTGTCTCAATTACCTTGACTCCTTGATTTTATGACATTGAAACTCAGTCTGGGTTTTATATCATTTTTCTGGTTTCTAGAAGAATATGCTTGATTTAAAACCCACCATGTCATTGCACAGATGATTTTATGCTGGTTTTACTTTATAATTCTGGAATGGTTATTTGAAGAGACAAAATTGGAAATTGTTTTTTTTTTTTTTCTTCTAAGTATCCAAAATACCCAGCTTAATAAGGTGGGACTTATTTGGAGAGTATGCCTTGACAACAATCAAGTAAAAGGGTCTTCTCCCTGTCATCAGCACTGGATGTGGGATATTAGTTCTTAGAGGCAATCTCATAATAAAAGTAGTAGTGATGTCAAGAACTAATTGACTGACTTTAATTGAAGAACACTTATATTACAGAGTATGTGATGGTAAGATGTATTCAACTTGTTTTTGGCTTTTCTTTAGAAAGCTGAAAACTTTCTTCCCAGTAGTAATTAAAAATAAACAGCAGTCATTAACTTAGTGTGGGCTTCTAATGGATTCAACATTGCTTCCTTGCATGAATGATTTTCTGATCTAAAGCAAAGTAATTTAACACTGAAATTATCTTGAAAATAAAAACCATCCTAGATAATGAATAGTTTCAATTTCTGTAACACGAATTTATGTGTAGTTTTCCTTTTTAATGTATTCTTCTGTACATATACAACTTGCTAACTATCAAAAATGGTCTCAGAGGGATACCACCTCAAAGAACAGTGCGCCCAGTTCAATCTCTGAAGTCTATAGCCTTGGAGGTAGTATTTATTCATTCATCTATTCAGCCAACATTCATTGAGAAGCTTCTTCAGGCTAGACATTTCCCTGAGTGCTTGGGAAACAAAAGGAAAAAGAAAAAAGCAGTCTCTGCCCCCAAAAGAATATATCATTTTTGGATTGGAATAATATTTTATCCTAATCTTGCCTCATTTATTTAATTAGTTGTATCATAATTTATTGAACCAATTCTGTGTTGTATATTTAGGTAAATTGGGGTATTTTTGTATTTTTGCTATAAAAATCTTAGTTGGACTCCTCTGATAACAAATATTTGTCCATATTTCTCATTTTTTAGGATGGATTTCTACAAGTAGAATAACTAGGTCAAAAGGCATGAACATTTTAGTCTCTTAAAATTTTGTGAAAAATTGCCCTAAAATGGAAATATAGGCTAAAAACAACAATAACAAAAAAGTTGTATCATGTATCATTTTACATTGCTACCAGCACTATGTAAGAGAGTCTTTTCTTACTTCCTTTACTTGCTAGCTTTAAAAATCTGGAATGTTCTGCCAAATGTGTACTTTTTTTTTTTTTTTTTTGAGACAGGGTCTTCCTCTGTTTCCCAGGCTAGAGTACAGCAGCAGCATCATAGCTAACTGCAACTTCCAACTCCTGAGCTAAAGCGATCCTCCTGCCTCAGCCTCGCTAGTAGCGGGGACTACAGGCACATGCCACCACACTGGCTAATTTTTCTATTTTGTTTTTTTAGAGATGGGGTCTCACTCTTGTGCAGACTGGTCTCAAACTCCTGGCCTCAAGGAGTCCTCCTGCCTCACCCTCTCAAAGTGCTAGGATTATAGGCATGAGCCATCGCTCCTGGCCCAAATGTGTATCATTGATCATTAATCTTTAGTCTTCAAAATAGCCAAAAAGTTACTCATTTTTAAGGATAATTTAGTGCTGACCAAAAATTTGCAGCGATATTGTTAGTTTATAGTTAGTTTATATCTAACAAGAGATCATCCAGATTATTTTCTGTTTCTTTCTTATATATGCCAAAATTTAAAGTATTAAGAAGTATGAAAGTGTTGTCCATTGGTTTGAAAAGTTTGACTAAAAAAAACAATGAAGATTGCAGCTGTCTATGAGTCAGTTGGAAGAGTTGAACGTTGACTCAAAAGCACGTGTCAAAAATCCAATAGATCTCTATTTTGCTAGGGCCTATTAAATTTCATAAGTACCTATTGAGGATATTATGAAATAAATTAAGCACCAACACATTATATTTGATACTAATGCATTTTATTTAAGCACAAAATTCCTATCTATAGCATTAATAATACCATGAATAGGTTTACAGGAACCTAACCACATCTTACTTAAAAATGAAGTTACGAAAACGCTTCCTGGTTAACTTGTCTGTTACATCTTTATAACATTTTTGCCCTTGCTGAGTTTGTATGCTCTGCTGTTTGATCTCCTTTCTGCTCTTATCTCAATGGTTACATTGTTTATTTCTAGAACCATTGGACACAAAAATCGGTATGTCAAAGTCCCCCGTGGTCACATCTGGGTTGAAGGTGATCATCATGGACACAGTTTTGACAGTAACTCTTTTGGGCCGGTAAGTCATCTTTTATCTTGTTGCTGATATAATTGGATTTCAAAAGTGGGAACGAAAGTATGTCAGATAGATTGCTCAGGTAAGTCAGCCAAGACTGATCATGAATTTTATAGTGAAATGGTTTATGTTTGAAAATTTCCTTTTAAGAATCATAAATATATAACATAAAGTATCAAGGGATATGTTTATATTTGCATATGTGTGTGTTTCATGGAAAATAAAACTTCAACAAAGTACCAAAAGATGCTTTTTAGCTGGGCTTGAGAATTAAGTTACATAACACAGATTAACAGAAGGAAAGCATGCAAATTTAACAGAAGTTTTACAGAGCCCTCAAAGAAATGAAGACTCAAAGAAATGGCAAGACCTACATACTTTTGTATTAGATCAAACAAAGAGAGGTAATTGTGAAAAAGTAACTAAATTACATGGGGAGGCTAAAGAAAGATAAAAATTATTTTAACAAGATCTATTTGTACAGAATTGTCTCTGCTATTACTCCCCATAGAAGAATGTTTCTTTTCTTTTGGTACAAGGAGGGCATCATTCACATGAAAGGTTTTATCTCCTGTTTTCAGAAAGAAAAGGGGAAGATTTGAATCCCCTTCTTGTGTCTGCTGCTTTTCAAGTGCCCATAGCTTAAAGTAATTAAGCTTTAAGCTTAATTTGATATTCTTATATCAAAGTGGCATATTTTGGGGTGGCATAATCTGCCATTCTTCATAAATAACATTTTCTAAGCATTTAATTTATAGCAAAAGTGTAGGCATTCCTTATTCCATGCTTATATTCTGTAAAATACGTGACTAAGTTGATATTTTATGAATTTTTTCATATTGAATGCATATAGAAATTCTCTATTTGTGAATCCCTGCAGTATCATTATATAAAGTGAAAAATCTTTTAGGTAATGGAAACTATTCCTGATTTCTAATTATCTAGTCTGTTTAAATACTTGGATCTTCACCCATTAGATTTTCCTAAAGCTATACTAGTTACGTATGTATAGATTGAGCATCTGAGGGACCACTATTGTTATTACTAAAGAGTAGCCACTTTGACTCACCTTTGGCTAAAATACAGTAATTGAGCTGGGGTTAGATTAGTGTATGGATATGTGGCAGACAATTTTAGGAGACTAATCCTACTTCTTTTTGCTAGTTGCAACAATGATAATAAATACTTCTAAGGCCTTTTCTCACTTTTGAATCATAATTATTACAAAAATATAATCTAATACCCAAAATGAGACAAGCTATTTGGGAAATTCTAGGTCACTTATAGTATAGAAGTGACTGTTGTGAAGAAATTTAGTAGCAATTTGAAAGTAAGAATAAATTACCTAAAAGACATTTTATTTCGTTCATCATAGATATGATTGGATATGAAATGTTTCCATTATGCATAATATCTCTATGAAATATCCTTATGCTACCCCTCTTGAATATATCATCATTGCACAATGGTAGAAAATGTCTTATCGTCTTATAATATGGATTCACTAATTTATGACTTTAGTTTGGATTTCTAGCATGAAAAATATCTTTCGTAAGTTTCCTTTAAAATTATGATAATTGCCTGAAGTGTTACTAGATTTTATTGGATTATGTATTATATTAAAGATGTATGATGATTCTGACGTGTTGGTTTGCAATTGCTCAGAGTATTTTCTAAGCGTTTCTCTGAGTAATTCTTTTGCTTTGTGAAAGAAATTAGTATCTTTCCTTTTACCACCCCTAATTCCATGTAGAACACATTAATACATCTTCTATTATAGCCAGGCTGTTCTTTGCCAGCACCCAAAAGTAATTGATCATTATAGGTGTTGATGAATGTTCTACTTGCTTTAAAATGGAAGCACATAAAAAGCAAGTTTTGTATTTGTATGTGTGCATGCCTAGCTGAGAGTTTTCAAATAGTCATTTTTAACCTCTTCAGATCAGCAAACTCTTCACAAATTAAAAACGCACGCAGCAGTTCTTTCTCCCATTTATTATAAATATTCATTTCAGTACTTATATTTGAACTGTTCTCATAGATATTGATTCTTTTTGGTGAAAATACAAATGCAATTCTTTTCATGGCCTATCTTGCACATTTTCTATCTTTGAGGTTTTTCTATCATTTTTATCTAGCTTTAAGTCACGAACAACTGAGATATTTTCACTATTTCACATAGTGATTTGTGAAACTCTGGTATCTAAAAATAAATCTAAAATAAATAATTTATTTTAACTACATTGATGAAAGGACATTAGAAAAGAAAAACCTTTGACTTAAATATTTTAAGGCAAAGATAATCTTTCCAATATGTATAAATGTATTTTGATTTTTAGGTTTGTGATCATAGTGTCACCTTGTGAGCAATTTGTGTGCAGGGACCATGAAGCAGAACTGAACAATTTGGATGCAGAAACTATGCATGATATACTGCCTGTATCTGAGAATGGAAACTGCAAGTTATACTAAACATGAAATCTTTTTAGTTCCAAGTCCCTTGGAAAAGAGCTAATTCAATCACTTATTTCATTGATACCTAATTAAATAAAATATTAGCTGCCTAGAGTATTTCTTGAAGGAAATATGCCTAATAGAAAATGAAAGATTTAATAATAAATGACCATTACAAATATTGTTTATTAATGAAATGAGCTGATGGTCTGAAAGTGATGATATATATAAATGTATGGAAAATGAGGATTAAAATCTCATAGAATTCCTTTTGAAGTTTATGAAGTACAAAAAAAGTTTTTCATTTTTTAAAAACTAGTGAAAAAGCAAAGGAGAAAAGCAAAATTCATGTTTTCATATCATGCAAAGCCTTTCATTTATCCCTTCAAGACACATTTTTGAGCATCTGCTGTTTGTCCACCTTGATTTTGGTCTGTGGATCCTGACGGGTGGAAGGGATCTGGAGAATAAGACTTTTATTAACTGGAGAGAGATTGCTAGATTAGGTGCTGTACGTGGGAAATGGACATTGTAAGAGGTTTAGTATCTAGTCATACTTGTTTTGAATTTTTTCCCTATGTTGTGCGTTTTTGGTTAAAAAAATACAATATGTGTTAACTAGGGCAGCAAGAATAAGATTGTTGGAGTTGTAGGCAGTTGTAGGAAGGATGAAAGGAAGGGACTTTTTGATATTAGACCACATAACAAAGAGAGGAATTGGAATGGAGTTTTGGGAAATATTTAAAATAATTAGAGATCATAAGGGCAGAGATTCAAGTCATGAATAATAAGGTGTACACTGAACCTGTGAGTCTTTGTAATCCTTTGGACACTGTCACCAAGTATGAAAAAAATGTCCTGACGCCCATAAGGAGCAGGTAAAGAGGGTCAATAGATACAACAGTGACTGATGTATAATCCCCACCCTCCAGAAAGGATAGAACAGAGGGGAGGCTCACAATGGGCCATCACAGCAGAGTGTAACCAGTACTCTAGGCGGGGGTATGGCAGAGCCTTTTACAGGAGTAGAGCATTTGTGTACTACAGACTCATACGAAAAACCTGTGCAACCTCCTCAGTGGATTTGGTAGAACAGTGTTCTAAAATCAGTGAGAATAATAACTATCTGGCAAAATTTTACGGCACTCTAGATGCTGTACGTTTTGTGAATGGAGTGATTTTATGCCTGCAGTGGGTAAGGGGTTTCACCTGCATTGAACATATTCTGCTTACACAGTACAGAATAATCTTGTGGACATATGAGAATAAATTGACATTTCATTTTATTTATTGTTGATGTGTAATATTTTCCTTGTGTAAGTTCTCAAGAGCAGTTAGAGTAGCTTTTATTTAAAATCAGCCATTTTCAAATAAAGAAAAAGATCTTTAGACTGTGTTGACAAGCTCCACATAAAGTGTTCTATTCACACTTTCTTTGAAAAATGTTGCTTAGACTTTAATTGGTTTTAGTTTCTTATTGTCTTGTAATACATGCTTATTCATTAAAAATTTTTGTTGGGTACTAAAATAATGTATATTTTATAGAAAAATAATGGTAAGACCAATCCTTTGGTTCTTGAAGTCATAAAGTCTTACCTTGGTGTTTTTCTTCCGTTGTTTCTCACAGTCACCTTCAACAGTGCTAGAACCTCACAATGCCACATATTTTACTTAAATATAATTTTTATTTAACTGGTATAGACAAAGGCATGCATTTCATAAAAAGATCAAAACCAATTAAAAGAGGTGCCATATTAATGAAAATATCTGTATATTCAAAGATAGCTAAGTCTCAGAAGAAAGCCCATTCTATAAAGCAATGTTTAAGAGCAAGAAATGCCCACACAGCAAAAAGAAACAAAAAGCCCCTCAGGATTAGCTTTTCTATTAGTTGGATTTGTTGCTGTACAGTTAGGATATTAAAAAATATGTTTTTAAAAAGAGGTAATGGAAGCATAACATAGTGGTAAAGTAAACAATGTCACTCCTACCCCCAAGACCAGAGATTATCTAAGCTTCTATTTCCACCAAATCAAATTTTGTCCTCTGTATTAATTATTCTGCTAGTGTAAAAATCATTTTCCACATGATTTCATTTTCTGATAGGAGAATGTCAGCAGAATTGTCATTAGACTCCATTACTATGGCAGATACTATTCCTTTGGGCCGTTTAGTTACAGAATTAAGTATGTTCATTTTATTAGAAATGTATATTTACTGACAGTGGTTAAGTAGCCACGATTTAGTGAAATATATGCTGGATTATTAGTTTAGCAATTTAATAAGCTCTTAGAATTTTTTTAAGTAGAGTCAGAGCCTTTATCTTACTTGTAAGATAAAATAAAAAATATTTTGGGCCCATAAGAAATAAAAAGAACCTTGCTGTTAAGCATACTGTGTGATTCAGGGTTTGAGATTGAATTGCCTCATTTACATGGACATGTATTTATAAAATGTTTGGTGAATGATTGTTTTGCTCTCTACTTCTCTTAATAAACACCAAACTATGAAAATGACTTTATAAACACCAAACTATGTGTTTGGTGAGCTTTTGACTGAGCTTCTGGGAGATAACATTCCTTGGACATTTTTAATTTTCCTAAAGCTTCTTGGGTAATCTTAAAAATTTTGTTCTGAGTCAGTATCTTATTGGTTATATTTACTGAAATGACTTGCAACAGAAATACAAGACCAGTTTGATTGCGAGTGACTTGGGTGATTATTTTCTGTATAATGGAGCCAATTATGAAGCCTATAGTAAATCACAACAACTCCATTTTTAGATATTATCCATAGGAAGATTCATGTGATATAATGGAATATTCATATTTGTCTAACTTAGTGTATTGATCAAGTAAAAATGCAATTTTTTATCACGGTAGTCAAAATCAAAGCCATGAGGTATATCCTATTAATAGGGCATCACAAACAACCTGGCTTTTGCACTAAATAGAAGTGATTTCTGTAGAATGATTCCTGGATAATTCTGCTCCAAACCATTCTTCTATCACTAAGGATTTATTCCAAAAAGAACTCTGATTATAGCATTCTATTTCTTAAAACAATATCATCAACCTGTGGCACCTATTATACTCATTGGAGAAATGTTACAAGCCTTCCCTTTAAATCAGAAGCACAACAATAAAGCCCACTTTTACCACTTCTGTTTGACATTATGCTAAAGGTCATTGCCAGTGCAGAGTAAGACAGTAAAGAGAAATGAAAGATGTAGAAATAGGAGAGGAAGATTCCAAACTTTATATTTCTTAAGTATGATATTCTTCACTTAGAAAACCCAGGAGTAATCTGTAGAACTGTTAAAACAGTTAATGCAAATTTATTAGTTTAATAGTTATCCGTACTCGAGCATGGCTAGGTGTCATCAACAAATAAAAAACATCCTTTTAAAGAATTCACCATTTAAAATAACAATAAAAATTTAGGATATTGGCTACTTCTGGAAAGGATGGGAGTGAATGTGAGTGGGAGGAGGGTACAGGGACAACAACTTGTACTTATATCTTAATTAAGTTGGTGAGTATACCGGCATTCATTATATTATGCTTTATACCTTTTATGTCTGAAATATAATATAATAGAATATTTTTCAAAGCTGCATAAGTAAAAATATTAAAAGTTAGCATCAGTGACTATATTACTCAGGTCTTTCCCTAATATTAGGGCGTGGAAGTCCATATACCACGTCTGAATATTCAATAGCTACAAATCAAGTGTTAAATGAAATATGTTACTTTTTCTTAATTTGATAAGTATACCTCTATATGGCTAAAACCAGCAAACATATCAAAGATCACTGAATTATTGTTATTAGTCTGAATATTCTGTTTGAAAGGTCTGTGATGTTTGGAAGAGTAATAACATAAAAATATATAATTCATAAATTATTTATAATTTTTTTCTGGCCTCCATTTCAGCAAAATCATGTCATTATAATAAAGATTCTCATATAATTTGCATTCCATTGACAACAATTATATAAAGAGTTAAGATGTAATTGTATTTAGAGTATAGATAATTTGAATATATATTAATCAAAATATAAATGAAAAATAAATGTAAAAAGTTAAAAAGTAAATTTTTTTAACTCCTTCAAAAAAGATTTTTTTGTAAAATATAAAAATATATCTTTTAAAAGCAAAGCCAAAAAAAATAAAAGCCAAAATATGAATAGCTACTAATTAACATGAAAATTATATTGAAATTATTTGAATGAATCTAAATTTTTAACTATTTAAAGAATTGGTTGTCTTATATATTTGTATAAAATATGTAATATAATACTTACAGGTGTAGGGTTCAATTTCTATGTGGCTGTCAATGTAAAGAGTATCATGCTCCCAGCATGTTATACCCTGAACTACATAAATACAAATTTAAGAATAATATGAATTGTTTAATATTCACCAAAGTTTCCTCTTTAGTCATGCACAACTGTGGTGAATGCTGTGTTTTCCTGAATACTTCTACAATCACAAGTTGAAACACGAAAAGAAATAAGAACAGAAGCACTCAGCCCTCCTGGCAAATGCTGCTGTGTTATATGAGAATCTGTTGCCTCCATGCTGAGAAGCTTGTCAAGTCATTTAATTTGCTGCTTCTCTTAGCTAAGTGCTTACATGGCTGAAATCATCCCTGTGATCAACTGACAAACTTATGGCATTTAGAATCAGTCAACATTTTTTTAGAACACAAGAGATGTTAGAAAAGCATTTTTCTTCATCCTTAATGATGTTGGTTTGTTAAAAGTAAATACTTCATGAATAATCAGGGTTAGGATGTCACACATTGCTAGTGCTGAATGCCAGATCTTGAGTAAGACTGGGATCCATGTGTTCTTTAATAAATTTATTTTTTGTAAAATTTGTGATCTGCAGGTTCCTCAAAAACACAGACACCAAAAAGTAGTCCTTTTTGCCTAGGACTAAGGGCAGTATAACTCAAAGGAACTAGTCTAAACTCATTAGTACGTCAATAAAAACCCTTTTGAATCATTCTCCAGTCAAATTTTCCACATCCATCTTTCCTCTTTACCCATGAATGCCTATGCCTTGACCCTTCTCTAAATCTACCATCTGGTTTTGCATCTCTGTATCTTGGCACATGCTTTCATTTCCTTCCTCTCCCTTACATTGTCTTCTGCCTGCCCCCTTCAGTCTGGAGAGTGACCACTTCCAGACCTATTCCAATGTGAAACTTTGCTTCTGGTTGAGTCCATTACCCAAAGAGCATTTAGGGTGTAATTGCATAGTGATTTTGTGAATATAGATAAAACTGAGCTTTGCCAAGGTAGGTATGGGAGCGAACTCTTCCTTGTATCCCTGTATCACAGAACCGGGATAGAGTTTAAAAGCTGTTTGATGACACAATTAATGATCAATTTGTGAGACGTGAAGATTCATCTAGTTCAGCTAACTGTGGCCCTTGGACCAAATCTGTCCCATGCCTGTTTCTGTATAAAAACAGTTATATTGGAGGACAGCCACGCTCTTTGTTTTTCATATTGACTGTGGCTGCTTTCCCACTCTAAGGACTGAGTTTTAAGTACTTGCAACAAACACCTCTGGCCCACAGTCCTAAAATATTTACTACTTGGCTTTAACAGAAAACAAACAAACAAACAAAAAAAAACTTTGCCACCCTCTGATCTTGTGAATTAGTAATAGATAGCTTTAGAAAGATTAAAGACTGATTATGTTTGGCCTTGAATATGAAGGTCAGAAATTTAAACAGTATCTGGAAGGCACTAAAAAGTCACTTACATTTTGAAACAAGAGAGTAAAAAGTTAGAAGAGGAAGCCTGGCAAGACTGATTTGGGAAAATTATGAATGAAAGATTAGATTGGAAATAGGTTATAGGTAGAGAATGCAATTATCTGATGACTGTATTTGTTCAATCCCTAGAATAAGATGGCAGTAATAAAAATATGAAGAAGTGGATCAACATGGGTGTCCTTAGGAATCAATAAATGGTTAGATATGTGTTACAGTCTGTTGCCTAGAATTAACTCACCACATCTGTTAGAGAAATTCACTAGCTGCATTACTGACCTACCTTCATGTTCATCTCTGATGGGTCAAACCCTAAAGTTAAGCATGAAGAGCAGTCTTGGCCACCTGAAGAGAACTGTGTTGCCTTATAAAGATTAGGTTTGCTTGCCTGTCTATAGGAGCTATAATCAAGTCTTCATGACTCATTAAAACTTCTAGGCAAGTAGTAGCCCATCAAAGCTCTGATCCGTTACACGTACCATCCTTGTGAACTGATGTACTCTCCACCACTTCATAGGCCTTCCCTGCTCTCTTCTCTAAAGTTCTCATTTGTTTCAAGAGATGTAAATGATTCCTAGAAAGTGGAGGTTAGTGAGAAGAAAGCATATAATGGAAGAGTAAACATTTCGATAGTTAAATTGGCTTATAGAAGAGCACATTTTTTATATTTTTCCAATATTATTTAAAATGTACAAGTATATGATATATTTCAAAATTAAAATATTTTCAAAAAACGCATCACTTTTACTAAAGGAATGATGTAGAATGTACACACTAGTTCTGACTTCTAATAACAAATCTACCCTTTAAAAATTCCTATATTAAAATAAGTATATTGATATTGTGAATTTAAATAAGGAGATGATCAGTGGAAGGAAAGGGGAAATGATAAGGCTTCATCAAGTCATAGAATATTAAAATTAGTTTTTTGATCGCTAAACCTGATTTTCATAAAGATAATAATTATTAACTAGAACGTACATTAGACTAACAACTAACTACATTTTGCTGAATTTTTACTTGGACCTTCAGTGATTTTATTTATAGTTGAGGAACTTTGACCAAACCATTTTCAAAGCTACTTAAACCTCCATTGTTGTGAAATGCATCTGCTTATTCCCCACTGAGGCCTTAAACTCTGTCTTCCTAGAGTCACTGGGAACCTGTAGCAAATGAAACATTCCTCTCAAATTAGTCATGATTATATTTAGGTTGTTCATATAAATTAAGTTTCACTTCACAAAAACCTAATGAGATTATAAATTATGTTATTTCTACAAGTCATTATGGAATTATGTAGACTCTGGTCAAGGAGAAATTCTAATCCTCTTAAAATATTTGCTCCAGAGGCTATATAAAAATCTTTATTTTGTTCTTCTGACATTAAAAAACAAAACAGAAACAGATACAAAAACCATAGGTATTTACTCAGCTTTTCAAACAAAGAAAATTTATGTTTTGAATAGGGAGCTATTGGATGGTACTAAGGGTAATACCATTAAATAAATGATTTTTTTAAATCTATAGGCATAGTTTCACTGGGCTGTGGTTTCTAGATTTAATGGATTATCCTGCACTGACTGAAAAGTAATAGTACAAAATGTGCAAGGCCATTTAAAGGTCATTCATCAAAGTGTACAGTACTTAAATAGCTTCTTTATCCAAGTGGACATTGCTGGTTAAACTGTGGTATTTGAAAAAATGGTATTTGAAAAAACCCTCTAAAACTCATGCTGAAATTTAATTACCATTGTAACAGTATTAAGAGGTAGACTGTTTAGGAGATCATTGGGCCATAAGGTCTCCATCCTCATGGGTTGGATTAATACCAATATAGCACAATGAGTTCGGCCCCCTTTTACCTCTTTGCCCTTCTGCCTTCTACCATGTGAAAATCAAGTGTTCCTCCCCTCAGGAGGATGCAACGATATCAAGGCGCCATCTTGGAATCAGTATTGCCAAACCTTCCGGAGCATTGACATGGGGCTTCCCAGCCTCCAGAACGATAATCCAGTAAATTTCTGTTTATAAATAACACAGTCTGTGGTATTCTGTTATAGCAGCACAAATGGGCTAAGGCAATATTATACTGTTGAGTCACAAAGGTATACTTTACGAAGAACTTTAAATACGTTTTCAAAAGTAAGTTCTGATTTGATTTTCTTACAGTCACATAATACTTCTCTATATTTTAATTTAAATAAGCAACCACCTTGCTTTCGATGGAAGTATTTTTCCCATTAGATGAAAGAATATTATTTAAAATGCCATTTGGTTGCAGGAAAGTATTCCTACAGTTTTTATAAATTTCGTGTAACTATCATATTAATGTGAAATTTTATTATATGCTTCTTCATCCTACCATTACCCTTAACCATCTCACTTCTCATTCTTTTGAGGTTCATCATCCATAATGCCTTTTATTCTTCTCTCATCAAAGGAAATTTAGTGCGTGATTATAATAAATGTTATGAATAAGATGCCCCTTTGTGAAAAGGATTTAAATAAGCTATGGCTGTGTATGAGGGCATTACCCAAAATTGATACATTATCATCCTTTAGGTTCAAGAATACTGCCTTTTTAATAAAGTTATGCACAATATTTTCTGTTTATAATGCCTCAAAGGCTCTAAAACAGCCATGTGATTATTACCATGATCTTTTGATTAGTATATCTACTCTAATGTGCTTTTCTGTAATTCCAATCCTATTTAAAAACAAATCATCCAGAAACCTCATGAATCATGCAAAGCTGAATCATTTACAGATATATACTATATTATATATATATATTCTTCCCACTTAGTTGAGGTGAACTGGGCATAAAGTAAAATACAATGTCTTTAAAGCTCATCCTACATTCTGTATTTTCAGCCCCCAGATTTCTTGTACCCCACGGTAATAGTCCCTCCTTAGGAGGAGAGATCTCTCTTGTTCTCAGATTTCTTTTCTTCTACCTTTTTGCAAAAGGAGGAAATCTAGTAACCTTTCACAGAAAATGAGAGAGAAAGAGAGATGAATATCATCTCTTGCAAATGTTACTTTCGTTTAACTTTTTATAAACGTAGCATGAACCTCTCTCCTCCAGTATCACCGCAAGAAAGAAAAAAAATAAATAAATAAAATGGAAGACATCAGCTAGCAGACAGTCATTATTTGTGAGTTGGTGGCTTTCCCCAAACTATCACAATTCACTTCACTTGTCCCTGAAGCCATCACTGAATAGTGCT